GACGTCGAGGCTGTCACGACAGGATGGCCGAGTGGTTAAGGCGACAGTTTTGAATTGATCCATACGGGAAACTTCATACCCTGATCACATTCCAGCTGTTTCACTTTGTGAGCGTGAGTTCAAACCTCACTCCTGTCGGGAGTCATTTTGGTGGCGCCTTTTTGCGCTGTGGGTGGGTGGGGCTGCATTTGTGCGCTTTCTTGCGGGCAGGAATTGAAGAGCATGAAATTGTGAGTGAACAGAGTTGGGGATTTGATTGCAGTGAGGGCAAGGCTCTATTTATAGATGAGGATGCTGTGATAGGTTGCCGCAAGAGTATCCTTACCATGTGTAGGGGACCAGAGGAAGGAGGTTCATAGGATAGATACAACAACAGGTTGCTGGGCTTGGAAGTCCAGTGCAATTTCTCCTAAGGATATAAGAGAAAAGAGGATCAGGAATGGTGAGATATATAGTGATTTGGTAAACAATTAGAGGAAACAACGAGCCAAGAGCCGCAAAGAAGTCAAGCTGAAGAGGCCAGGAGCGGCTAAAACTTGGTTTATATTTGCAAAACCAAGGAATATTGAATCAATATTTAAATCAAGATGGCTGATTTCAAGACAAAGTTACTATGTATAGTAGCCTCTATCAGACCTATATCACTCTTATCAAAATACTCTTGTACTTACAGCTTCTATGGATAAACAATCCGGTGGGATTGAATATATAAAATATATATTTATAATATCAAGAGTAATAATTGTTGTTGTTGATGTGCTACTACTCCTATGCTTGTTATACTACTACCACTCACTCAACCTCTCAAGGTAAAATTCTTATTGTCTAACACTACTACTACTGACCAACTGAATACTACTAACCAACTAACTAATAACCACAAGCTACAACTGGTAGATCAGCACACACTCCTCTGAGTCAGTGTGGAAAGGTTGGATTTGGTGGGGGGGGCTCCTTTTATATTGAAGAGGGGACAGATTTTATGCAGAGGAATTTCTCTTGGGAAAGTTCTACTTGAGACATGTTTCAGCACAGCATGATGTCATATTCTGAATAGCATGATGTCTTTTCTGGCTGTATCAGCATGTGCTGTAACATTCCAAAGCCACATAAATAACAATTACATGTGGTCCTGAGACTTGTTTCAAGCTGGGGAACCTGTATTTACTCCTGTATCATGTTTCATATCTCAAAC